ACAAGAAAACATACAGTTAATTAAGGTGAGAATACATTACATAATTAATATTAATTCTCTTTATTAATATGTAATGGCATTTCTTTTAACAATTGTCTATTGTCTACAGTATAAACTGAGGTTATGGCGTATCTATAATATTTAAAATACTTGTTGTTCTCAGAATCTATGGAATTCCGTTTAACATTTATCTATTGTACACAGCCTAAATTGACTTTATCGTGGCACCTATGGTATTTTAATAATATCTATTGTCTACATCAAAAATTGACATCGCGTCTGTCGAATGTGACCTGTCTTAATGTGAACTTGACGTTTGTCGCCATTTTATAATTCAGGTGTTTTACTTGCTTTTTGGTGCGTGTTTTTAAGTGTGTTTAATCCCATCCTTAAGTAATAGTGTAATTAATATGTTTTTTTGTCCATTTCTGCAGATCGTTCATCAATTGAGTTCAGTTTGGTCACACTGAAACATGAAATGTTCTATATGGGTGTGGTCATTGGTGGACTATATTCTTGATTTGCTGTTTCCTCTTCGCCTTGTAACATCATGCAGTTAATTTTCAACCCGTGAGTGAGAGAAACTGGAGATTTATCTGAATTCCACTGAAATAACAAATTTTCTGCTACAATATTCCTGGAGTTGGTTTGCTTTTCACACCTGTAAACTTTAGAACGTTACGTTCTACAATTAATTATGGTGAGAATACTTGATATACTTAATTGCTCTTTATTAATCTGTAATGAATGTTCTTTTAACAATTGTCTATTGCCTGCAATATAAACTAAGGTTATGGCGTTTGTATAGTATTTAAAATGTCTATTGTTCTCGGCATCTATGGAATTCCGTTTAACGTTTATCTATTGTGTACAGCTTAAATTGACATCGTGTCTGTCGATTGTGACCCGTCATTATGTAAACTTAACGCTTGTCGCCATTTTATAATTCAGATGTTTTACTTCCTTTTTGGTGCGTGTTTTTAAGTGTGTTTAATCCCTTTTTTAAGTAATAGTGTAATTAATATGTTTTTTTGTCCATTTATGCAGATCGTTCATCAAATGAGTTCACACTGAACCCGTAATGTCCATTTGGGTGTGGTCTTTGGTGGACTATATTCTTGATTTTGTTTCGTCTTCGCCTTGTAACACCATGCAGTTAATTTTCAACCCATCAGGGAGAGCAACTGGAGATTTATCTGAATTCCACTGAAATAAGAAATTTTCTGCATTGGCATTCCTCTTAGATTTGATTTGCTTTTCACACCTGCAACTTTGGAACATTACGGTCTACAGTTAATTAAGGTGAGAATACTTGATATTATTAATTTTAATTGCTCCTTACTAATCTGTTACCACCATATCTGTTTCAGGTCGACGTTGGAGAAGACAAAGATGACCCCGTAGTTAAAATAGTTCTCTATCTTGCATGCTCTATGTAATAGAATTCAAGTTCATTTATTCAAATTAGTTTTTTTGTAGTTTATTTTATTTAAATTAGTTTTTATTTTGCATGCTTATTTTTGTTCTTTTAATTTGAAGTAATTGTTGATTGTAGATGTTTTTATTTTTATTTTTGTATGTAGTAGTAGTGTAGTAGTAACACTAACTCGTTTAGTAGTTGTAGTGTAGTCTAACATGTCTCTTGCTTACCTCTTCGCTTAGCTTACTGCATATTCTTACTATAAATTGCTTTGCATTTACCCTACGAGTTCTACATGATTCAACGTTTCGTTATCGTGTGTGTTTCTTCTCACCCTTGTGGAATTAGGGAGGGCCTCCCCGAACGACTTCCCTTGGGCTTAGCTATTTAGTTGATCTTAAAAGTGTCTTATACACTTTTCGCGAGTCTACTCTAGCGTTACTTCCTTTCAGACAGGGTACAGTGGGTTATCTG